AAGCGGTAGAGGATTCATAAATTTTCACGCTTACATACACARATACACTTATGTGTGATTGCAGCGCTTTTTATTGTACCCTGCTGGAATGTTTGAAGAGCGATTTTCAGATCGTTGGGTGAGGCGGAAATAGTCGGAGACGATTTGGAAATGAAGAAACGATGGATGTAATAGTTTCGAGAGGGGGTTTAGTTGAGTTGATTTTTCTTCTCTTCTTTATTGGCGTAGACAACGCTTACGCGGTTATAGCCGAGATTAGAACAGCGCGTCCACCTGGTCTTACCAACGGAATGGAGGTCTTCCTCTGCTTCCCCTGCCGGGTAGTACGTCGAATACTTTCAGAGTTAGAGTGCGTAACCGCTGTCTCTTAATTCGCTAAACTATGTCAATGTCGTCGCATATCTCGTACAGCTCATCGTTATCCGAGRCTGGTTTTCTCTTTTCATTGGTACTGTTTTTTGCGTAGCGGATGCTTTTTGGCAACCTAGAGGATACTTGGTCTAAGGCCGGAAGYCTTGATCTGCTTGAGCAATTTGTAAAAGAATATTTTCTGGCCAATCCCAAGTGAATGGCGCTCAGAGAACTTTCCTTACTTGGGTGAATAATAGTACAAAAACAATGGATTGCTCTCTAGCCGTAATTGAACTCAAACTGAAAGTAAAATGTTGGAGAAGATTCCACTAAAAGAACATACTTATATTATTCACACATACATATATACATGCCAACACATTAAGTCATAATAATGGGTTGAAGGTGAAATCCTGCTTAAAAGTAAAATCTACTCACCCGAATGCAATTTCCCCTTTTGTATTTTGCTTGGCATTCTTAGTAATCTGCAGCATTTTCCATTTCAATTACAGCATTTCTCGCTTTTTGCCGATTATAGAAGGTAATTTTAGCCGCTGATTCCAAAACGGATTCATCCGCATACAAAGCTGCCCATACATGTCGCTGTGATCAGTGGCAACATTTGTACACGAAAACATTTCATTACTTGCAATGCTTCAACAATGTACTCGCAGTCAAGAAATCAGCAAAGATTTGTGACCGGCCGGCGCGCATGCGCCATACTTGCAGAGCGGTCATTGTCTGCTGCGCGTTCAGAATGCAATTACAGCAGTGCTTACATTTATGCCAATAGGCAGCAATAAAGTTGCCAGCAGGTCCGTCCGATAGTCATTAGCTCATCCGACTAGATATTTTTCTTGTGAACTTCAAAGATCTGCGCAGGTAATGCTCACTGCTGCACTGCAGCTGCAGAAATTACAACAATAATAGCAACAAAATTAAGTACATCGCCGCTGCATGGCAGTGTCATAGAGGTACTTGTAGTTTTCCGCTGTAAGGCGCAATTGTAGCTGGTTTTTCGCATTTCGATTTCAACGCCTTGGGGAACCAGTTTCGTTTTTCTTCAGCACTGCAACGTGCTGGGATGCGGTCGGCGACGCAAGCAACGAAGAGTAATTTATGCCGGCGCTTCAGCGTCGCTGTTGCGATCGATGTCGCGTGAGAACTTTATGGTATTCCGSCGATGATCGTGCAGATGCACATGTATACTATATACATACGTACGTATTCATACATATTTATACTCGCATATCGTATCTGGATTATTGGGTAAACGTTTCCATTAAACAATATGTTGACTATTTTCTCAGCTTATTCAAATAAAATCTTCACAGAGTGGTCGGAAAATTATTTTGTTGRAATTGTTTATCATAATTTCTATTAAAAATTGCATTTACCAGCTGATCAAATTTGAACCGGACTARTCCGATACATTTTATGTTCGTGTGCAGTTTGATCTCCATATGGCAATTAGGATCCGTTTGGCAGCTGATTACGAGACAGAAAGTTTCTCTGTGTTTGCGGTAGTMTACTTTATCTCAGATACAAGTATTTGAGTAGCACAAATTATGCAGTGAGGGTCGTGAAGTCATKAAAAACTTTTCTCACGCAAGTCGTCTATTTACTGTTCAGCAATTGCGAATGAGCCGAAACCGAAAAAAACAAAATTTGCCGAAAGCCATCCCAGCCAAGTGTATTGAAATTCTTCAAAAATGATGCCGGTRAGAACGTAACCGTCAATGGCGACCGTTATCACGCCATGATAACCGACTTCTCGATGCCTGAAATTGAAGCTCGTGAACACGGCCACACTTGGTTTCAAAAAGACGGCGCAACTACCAACAAATCGCAGCAGACAATGGATTTATTGAGAGAACACTTCGGTAAGCAGATAATTTCACGCTTTCAGCTGGTGGATTGGCCAACATGGTTATGTGATATCACACCGTTAGACTTTTTCGAAAATTGGACTTAACGGATGGACCATCTAAAACGTAGCCGCGGCCAACATTTGAAAGAGATTATCGGCGAAAGTTAATTGCCAAGGAATGTTCTTTCGAATGATAATAAACATTCTCCAAAAAATGTCAGTTTTTTTTTTTTTTTTTTGAAGTAGCGTACCTCGAAATTGATCACCATTTACTTACTTGGTTGGCACTATTCAATTCTGTGGTTCAAAAAACCTTTTGAAACTTCAAGGGGTAACCCCAAGAGGTAATATTTCAAGAGATATCATCCTTCTACGTAATGCCTGTGGTCTTCCAGATTACGTTATGCTTTTACAAATTTACTGGTGGGGTAGATATTTCTTTATTATTTTATTCACTTACTTTTTACTCTGCGCTTTAAGACGATGCATCGCAATCAACCATAATAAGATATGTAAATGTAGACGATATATAGTAATTCACAGGAATTATAATATTGTGTAATAGAACAGTATCAATTACAAGCTTTTCTAACTAAACGCGTCTATTGTTCAAGTGCATGTAGCTATTTTTATACTCTCTTTATTGTTATTTTAGGTGTCATAATGAACGGTTACTGCTCTGCTTGAGACTTGACCGCGCTTCTCTTTCCTCTAACTTCTGGAAATGCAAGTTTTAAGCCGACTATAAATGCCTGCCGAGACGGTGAACACTAGAACTTTTTTATATACACATATATTATATTTATATGTACATGCTATATGTATTCTACTACTGTGGGTAAAATATAGTAAGACTTTTTAATTTTAAATTCGCGCGAAAACCCATTCGTCGAAATATTTTTTTTCTAGATTAGTATAAATGTCAGTGACATCTATGCTATACGCTTGTCTATCTGAAGTAATTAAAAAGCAATCGGCGATTTTTATGCTGAGTGTAATTATTCAACAAAGAAGTTTCATTTAATTTTGTGTGTGGAATCAAATTTCTGATGCCGAAACGTCCGACCGGACAAACTGTCAACAATTAATACTATTTACATGTTATACGTCGTTTGCTCGAAGCTATTCATAAAAATGGCCAGAATTTAGGCCGACAACCCTTGGACTTTACTTCACGATATTGCACCGTAGCATACCGCATTGATTCTTAGTGCGTCTTTCGCCAATTTTCAACCAATATCGTGCCGCAATCACCGTATTCGCCTGATTTAGTTCTGTGTGACTTCTGGCTATCCAGCAAACTCAAACGAGCGCTGCTGGAAACCATTTTGAGTCAATTGAAGACATTAATAGTAAATCGCTTCGAGCATTGTAGACTGTTTTGCAAATTGAACGTTGGTACAAGTTTTTTGGGGCCAAAGGGAAKGTTTTGAAGAATAAATCAAAAAGTTAAAAATTATGAACAAAGTCTTAGTATTTTTTGGTCTTAGTAGTACGTSGAAAAATTTGTTTTCAACCCGCATCGAGAGCGGTTGCATAGTTTTCAAGTCACTATTGAATGCCACTTGTAAAGATATCGTATTTAAATTATCTATTTATAATTAGGTCATTATCATTGACTGTTGCTAGAGTCAGGGTTATTATTTTATTATGTAATTGGGTTAGTTAGTATATAATTTGTATATAAAAGTAGCTTAGGTGGAGTTGTTTAAAAACAATTTATTTGAAAGTGTTTTTTTTTCAGTTTTATTTCTTCACCCGAATTATGTATTATTTCTATTCTTYCTTGTCATATTCTYCACAAAATTKTTYAAATACTAATATCTTCCGCTTAGTCCAAACTCTTACTAAAACTCTAAAGCCACGGGTATGCATTTTCATATAGTGACTCGTTAGATCTCTCTTCGCCTTTCAGCAATATTCGCAAATACGCGAGCAATATGGCACACTTAGGAGTTCCACGAGAGGCATTTGGCAAAGGTGTCAGTGAACTTACGAAAAAGAYCCCTGACCCTGGCGAAGAGTAAAAGAAGAACCCCACGAACGAAGCGACGAGTGACTGACTCATCGAGTAATTTATAAAACGATAGTTCAAAAGCAAAACTATTGAAACCATATGTATCAGTAGGCAAAGAATAATCAATTATAATACTCAAGCGAGTAATTTAAGTGCAAATTATACAAGAGCATATGTACGAGTACGTTTGTATGGACGCTTTGTGTGTTTGTTGAAGCAAATTAAACAAAAACTACGCATAATAGCTGACGCTTAGAGTTAGCGGTAAGCAAAGTCAATTAGTCACTAAATTTTAGCATACATATGTATGCACATGRAAGCCCATATATACATACATACATATGTAATTATATATAATATGTACTAGTATGTACTTTGTAAAATAATATGTGCGCAAGTGTGTCAAAGCATAAATCAAAAGGAGTAGCACTGACAAGTCTACGTGCGAACCTGTGCACTTATAGAGGGTGCTTTTTCCAGAGTACACAGGTGTATATATTTTATTTATTTGAAGYAATTAAACCATCCTTCGGTTCTATTAAGCACCGTTTTTCCATTCAACATCACCTTAGCWTGCCAGAAATATTCACACTATTCCAATTTGATAATTAAATTTGCCGCATAGCTTTGAAATAAACTTTTTTCAGTTTTCAATGACAATTTTCCAAAGTCTGAAAAATTCTATATCTCTAAAAAAAACACCCTGCATATATTCTTGTATTTATTTATTATATACTAAATTGCATATGCCTGTAAGTATGTGTGTGYTTACTTTGAGTAGGCAAATTTGTTTTCATTTTCGTATGTGCATAAGTAGTAGATTTGTGAAAATTGCCTACAATGCATAAGTCAGGCACCATTGTGCTGACAGCAATAACAACGCGTGATATAAGCTCAGCGCAGTTTCGAACGTCACGGCGGAAGTACTTAATTTTAAAGTGTTTAGATTTATACAAAGCTCCACCGAATATGAGTTGGGTGAGTGAATGCATGAATTGATGGTTGAACGTAGAAGTTGTGTTATGATGTTGCCCCACGCCGTGTAGCAACTTTTGAAGTGTTGTAAGGAAATATACCTACATACATAGTTTTTCGTTTATATATCATACATAACATGTGTACATTCTTATGAATCTATACAGCTGACATGATCTGAGTTTTGACAGACACATTAGAAGCTGATTATTATTAACAAAACAACGTAAAATAAAATAAAAATATGGAAATCATTTATTTTAAAAGGTAAATATAAATGCATAATTATGCCATTAACACATCGTGGAAGGCGTCCCACAATGAATAAAACTGAGCARAAGAACACTTGAACCTTAAGCTGACATTCACTTGCGTTGTGGAGGACTTCTCGGGTATTAATATCCTCATCTTCAATGAATTCCTATTGCAGTTTATTTTTTACTAAATMAAGCCGCAATAACTCGTTCTCGGGCAGTTAGCCTCAGCAGCWGGTGTTGCAATGATATAAAAAAGAAATTTGTTTGCGGTATTTGTGGACTAATAACTTTAATTAAGTTGTTTTCATGAATAAATATGAAAGTCGTAGTGAATAACTCACAAGAGTTTGTCTTTTCGATGTTCAATGACTTCACTGAGCTTCATTGCCGCATTTTTTTTTTTTGTTTTTTTTTTGTGTTTTTTTTTTTGCACAAATATTGTAACAAAACATTTTTAATTGTTAATCAATACTTTGAGCAACTTCAAAATTGATTCATGCTGTAACTACTCTCATCGAACACTTCCAGCGTGAGGCCACCCGAGCTCCTTTCTTTGAAGGAACATGGAGCGGCAATAAATTTTCCGGCGTTGGCATCAACATTTCCATCTAAATTAATTTCTATTCCGTGGATGTCGCTATCAACTGATTGCAGTAGGCATTGAACGTGACGCACTCACCTTGACAATGAACGCAATCAAGAGGTTTGACGTAATTAAAAGCGTCTTGTAAAGTCCGCTCAAGTGGGCTCTTATAAAAAGTTGAAACAAATACGCACAAGTAGTATATCTGCATGTATGTATAGTATATGTTCACAAGCAGTGTTAGCAATTGGCAAACCATTACCTCGGCGGCACGCTGCCGGCCAGCCTTTCCGACGGCCAATTTGGAGTTAAAATGCGGAATGAGCACAGTTTTTTGACTAAACTGAAATATACACAAATACAAAAACATAAGTATGTGCCAGAGTATGTACAGGCATATACGAGTATATGTATATGCATCAAATCATGGAAAAAGTGGTGCAAACGGTGGCTGCTAAGACGGCGTGTCCGCAGAGCCGGTTTGGTTCGGCGGCAGCATGACAAAATATTTAAGGCCCACAACTTACAGCTTTACGTTTCAGTTGGCTTACCTGTACAAGCAATATGCTGCGCATTGATAGCGGTGCCGCTAACGTTGATGACGCTGTTGGACAAGCCTCGCGCCGTTAATTGCAGTATCGGTGCAATGAACTTGATTTTGATTTCTTGCTTTACATTGGCAGCTCTCGTACAGCCAACGATGGAATATGTAAATRGCGTGTGCGTTGTTGCACCGAAAGTAGGTTAACTTGTTGTGACTTTTATCTTCCTTTTGAGCTTTGCTGCAAAAAGAATTCGCACACCTTTTTTTTTCATTTTGGAAAGTGCGTGGCGAGTAAAACGCAATCTCAAGTAATTGTCTTTTTTTAAGTGCTAACTAACTAAGAGTACTTATAGCTTTCAATTAATTTCCGCTTCCTATAGTGTTCCGTTATATATAGTGTTGCCATATCTATATACATACATACATACATGACTATATTTGTATATTAATTTAACTGTAACTGATTGAGAATTGAAAATAATGGACTCTTCAATGAAATTTTTTCAAAATTTTAAAAATATTCTCGAAATTAATAAACCCGAGATATCGCTAAGCAGAATTATGCAACAGAGTCATTTGAAATACTAAAACGTCTCAAACTTGAGATTCTAAYGAAGTTTAAATAATTCAAAACTSCATACCCCGGATTCARAACTCAAGACATTGGTGCCACAATTTTTTACTTCACTTRACTTTTTTTAATTAAATCCAAATTTTTWAAATTTTTTTTGTTTTTAATTAGTCTAAACTTTACCTATGCATTTATGCAATCCCCATTTTTATTATATGTATTCAAAAAATTATGGCAACGAAGCACAAATTTAACGAAAAAAAGAGCATTTCTAACTAAGGTATGGCAGCATCGAATTTAATAAGAAATGATCCACTGAACATACTCAAGTTTAGATGACAGGCAAGCTAACCAGTTTGACAGTAGTGATTTGCAATTTTGTCATTTGGTGTTAAATATTCTCAAACGGGTTGRAAAATATTAATTTGTGTGCGGAAAATATATAAAATTTAAATAGTTTATTGGAAAATAACGTCTACGCAATATACTTATTGGAGAAACTGTAAAGGTGTGTAAATAAATACTMATTTTAAGAATTGAAAGTCTTTAAAAAGTCTTAATGGATACACATTTTTCTAGTTAACTCAAAAATATTTGTAAAATTTGCMCGTCTCATTAAAGTTTTGTATACAGAAATACAAAATTTTATTGTTTCAATGAAATTACACTCTATAAACATAACCTTAATTATGTGTCGCTTGTAATTTTCAGTAACCAACAACTACAATGACGCTAACATCCGCCGCTGGTATCATCTCGCTATTGGATGAGCCAATGCCTGATTTGAAGGTATTTGCCCTGAAGAAGCTTGATAACATTGTGGATGAATTTTGGCCAGAGATTTCGGAATCAATAGAAAAAATTGAAATGCTCCATGAAGATCGTTCGTTTCCTGAAAACAAATTAGCAGGCATGGTAGCTTCTAAGGTATTCTATCATTTGGGATCTTTCGAAGATGCATTAACCTACGCCTTAGGCGCTGGAGACTTGTTCGACGTAAATGCTCGCAATGAATACACCGAAACCATAATTGCCAAATGTATCGATTTTTACATTGCGCAAAGAATAGTATTCATTGAAAATCCTAAAGAAGCTAAGGCCGTTGACACACGCCTAGAAGCCATTGTCAACCGTATGATCCAACGGTGCTTAGATGACGGYCAATACCGTCAAGCTTTGGGTATTGCATTGGAAACGCGTCGTATGGATATTTTTGAACAATCTATTATGAAATCGGATGATGTTGCTGGCATGTTAGCTTATGCATACAATGTCACCATGTCTTTGATTCAGAATCGTGGATTCCGCAATGAAGTACTGCGTTGCTTAGTAGGCTTGTATCGTGATTTGGGGGTACCAGACTACGTAAATATGTGTCAGTGCTTAATATTTTTGGAAGATCCTCTGGCTGTTGCTGAAGTACTAGACAAACTAACTCGCTCCTCAGTGGAAGGAAATAATTTAATGGCATATCAAATTGCCTTCGACTTATACGAATCTGCAACACAAGAATTTTTAGGAAAAGTTTTGCAAGCACTTAAAGAAACAGCACCAATCCCAACGGCTTTGCCGTCCACATTTAAGCCACAGGGCACAAATCCTACAAACACTGAAGATTCATCGAAAACAGCTAGTGATGATAAACCTAAATCGGAAGATTCCGCTGGTGATGCTGAAGGTAAAGCTATATTYTTCATAATTGTAATTAAATTTTATAAGCTTCTTTTGTTAGGTGATGCGAAAATCGAGAGAACAATTGAGTCCTTAAATGACTCTGAAAAGGCTCATCAGAAAAATATCGAGAAACTTATCTCCATTYTATCCGGAGAAGTAACTATTGATCTGCAATTACAATTTTTGATTCGCAGCAATCACGCCGATTTACAAATTCTGCGTGGCACAAAGGAAGCTGTCCGTGTCTCTATTTGTCACACTGCTACCGTTATCGCCAATGCCTTCATGCATGCTGGTACAACATCGGATCAATTTTTACGTGACAACTTAGATTGGTTGGCAAGAGCAACTAATTGGGCCAAGTTGACAGCCACAGCTTCTCTAGGAGTCATCCACCGCGGTCATGAAAAGGATTCTTTGGGTCTTATGCAGAGTTACTTGCCGAAAGAGACTGGTCCCAGCTCTGGATATTCCGAGGGCGGTGGTCTATATGCCTTAGGCCTGATCCACGCCAATCATGGTGCAAACATCATCGACTACCTTTTGCAACAATTAAAAGATGCTCAGAATGAGAATGTACGTCATGGTGGCTGCTTGGGGTTGGGTCTTGCGGCTATGGGCACCCATCGCCAAGATTTGTACGAGCAACTGAAATTTAATTTGTATCAAGACGATGCCGTTACCGGTGAGGCTGCAGGTATTGCCATGGGTATGGTAATGTTGGGYTCTAAGAACGCCCAAGCTATTGAAGATATGGTTTCGTATGCACAAGAAACGCAACACGAGAAGATCCTCCGTGGGTTGGCAGTTGGTATTTCTTTGACTATGTTTGCTCGCTTAGAGGAGGCAGATCCCTTGGTTACCAGTTTGTCCACTGACAAAGATCCTGTATTGCGTCGTTCCGGCATGTACACCATTGCGATGGCATATAATGGTACCGGCAGCAATAAAGCCATCCGACGGCTATTGCATGTCGCAGTTTCTGATGTGAACGATGATGTCCGTCGTGCTGCGGTAACTGCAATTGGTTTTATTCTTTTCCGCACGCCAGAGCAATGTCCATCCGTTGTAAGTTTGCTCGCTGAATCATACAACCCACATGTTCGCTACGGTGCTGCTATGGCTTTGGGTATTGCTTGTGCAGGCACAGGATTACGTGAGGCAATCGGTCTCCTGGAACCTATGGTTAAATTCGATCCCGTAAACTTTGTCCGTCAAGGTGCTCTTATTGCTTCTGCTATGATTCTAATACAGCATACCGACCAGACTTGCCCCAAGAATAGTTTCTTCCGTCAACTTTATGCCGAGGTGATCAGCAATAAGCACGAAGATGTCATGGCCAAGTTCGGTGCTATTTTAGCACAAGGTGTGTTATATTAAATATTTAAATTTTGTTCACATATGTAATAAAAAAAACACTATTTTTAGGCATTATTGATGGCGGTGGTCGCAATGCTACGCTATCTTTGCAATCTCGCACTGGACATACCAATTTGCAAGCTGTTGTTGGAATGCTGGTTTTCACTCAATACTGGTACTGGTTCCCGTTAGCCCATTCTTTGTCTTTGGCCTTTACTCCTACATGCGTTATTGGTTTGAATTCGGACCTGAAAATGCCAAAAATGGAGTTCAAATCCGCCGCAAAACCATCTCTGTATGCCTATCCGGCACCCTTGGAAGAGAAAAAATCGGAGGAGCGAGAAAAAGTGGCCACTGCCGTCCTCTCGATCGCTGCCCGTCAAAGGCGTCGTGAAATTGCTGATAAGAAGGAAGAAGATAACAAGATGGAGATCGACGAGGACAGCAAGGATTCAAAGAAGGACGACAAGAAAATGGATGTAGATGAGAAGGTAGAGAAAAAAGATGATAAGAAGAAAAAAGAAGAGAAGGAAAAGAAAAAGGARGAGGAAAAGGATAAGGATGTTGGTGATAAAAAGAAAGACGAAAAAGAGAAGAAGGAAAAGAAAGAAC